ATCGAAGGCTTTTTCTGAATCTGTTGAGATGATCAAGTGGTTTTTGTCTTCTGCCTGTTTAATAAGGTGTATTTCACATTTAATGATTTTCTTATTTGAGCCATCCTTGCATCTCTGGAAGGAAGCTGACTTGGCCTGGTCTATGATCTTTTTTATATGCTTTTGAAATCGGTGTGCCATTATTTTATTGAGGATTTTTCCATCTATGTTCAATAATGAGATTGGCTAGTAATTCTCTTTTTTTGTTGCCAAAAAGTTGTTTAAATAATTGTTTTAATTTTTATTGTTTACCTAAGAATAGTAAAAATAGTGACTTAATATCATTTAATTCTTGAATTCAACTTGCTGTGTTATTCTTAAATAAATTTTTAAAGTGGTTTGCTTGAGCCAGGAAAATTAATAAGGTGGTTACATTGCATTTGGGTTGTGTGTCTCAAAAATCTTTTAATTTGGAGTAATATTCTTCCCTATCCCTTTTTTTCTTTCTTCCTTTTTCATGCCATTGACTTGAAGAAACTAGGTCAGTTGTCTTGTAGAGTGTCCCACCTTCTATACTTGTTGCTCATGTAGCTTACTGATTAGAGTGAGGCTAAAATAGGTTTCAGTATCTATAATTTTGCTGGGTTATTAGTGATGAGTTACGTGACTTTGACTTAAAACGTTGGATTTGTGCAACTTTTCTTAAGGGAAATTGTAAGGGTAGTAGTCCTGAGGCTAAAATCTTGAAACATTTTGAAATGCTAAAAGAAATGAAACTTAATCTAATGGTTTGCTTTTACACAAGGCGTTAAGTCTGTTCTTCTTAGTTAAAGTCACTAAGCAGTCACTGGGTGGCACTGTTTCTTCTTGTTTAGAAATAGAAAAAGCTGCCAAGCATTTGAGGTTTTCATGAGGCAGTACTTAGAGTGTTTTATTAAAAAGCTTATTTGCGTATTGTCTCACTGAATATTTCTTTTTCCCCCACATTTTTAGAACAAGATGTGGAAAATACGTTTATTCCTCGCCTACTTGCTTTCTTCATTATTTTCCTTCTCCACCTGAACCTTTTATAAGCATACATCAGTTGATGTTTTGTGGAACAGAGAAAGGTTATGCATAGCTTGTGGATATGCAGTAGTTGCCAGTGGTTTTTTCCTTTATATCTGTCTCCCTCCTTTTTCAGTTGGACTGAAATGTTAAAGAAAAAACTTATTCAAACACTTGTCAAAGACAGGCTGCATTTAGAAATACTACTACAGTGGGTTTTGTAGTAGGGGAGAGAGATTGGGCACAACTCTGATACAATGAAATGTGGCAATTTTAGCCAAGGAGCTGAGGATGTGGGATTGTGAGTTGTGGGAGGTGTTAGTAGCTGGAAAGTAACTAAGAGGAAACATCAGAGGTGGAAAGAGCCAGTTTCTGGCCAAATCAACCTAACAGAATTCTTGCTGAAGGCAGGCCAGTATGATCAGACATCTCTGGGAGATTGTGAGGTGAGGAACCTGATCAGATGTTGTGATGGTGGTGATGGCGGCAGTGGGGTGGCAGGGTGTGGGGGAGGTGTGGTGTGTGAGTGTCTATACTACATCATTAAGGTTCTTTCTAAAATCGGGTGATACGGCAATAGTCAGGGAAGTCTGTGAGTCGCAGGCCAGTTAGGAATCCTATTTAGAAGCATGTAACTAACTTTATTTGCTAGTTACTGAATTAAGAGGCATTTGAATAAAGAGGGCAGTAATGCAGGTTCTGGTTCTGAGCGCCTTTCCTGTGTTCAACCCTTGTCTTTCCTCTTATTAATTGTGCTGTTTGCTCTTGGACAAGTGACTTAACCTCTTTATGCCTCAATTTTCTTTTCTTTTCTTTTTTGGTTTTGTTTTTTTCTTTGAGTAGAATTTCACTATGTAATCCAGGCTGGCTTGAAACTCATGATCTCCTGCTTCTGCCTTCCCAGTGCTGGGATTATGCACATGCACTACCTTGTCCAGCTCAGTTTTCTTTTTTGAGGCAGGTCTTAGCTGTATTTCCAAGGCTGGCCTTCCATTTTCAGTCCTCTTGCTTCCACCTCTCAAATGGTAGAACTACAGGCATGTGTCATTCATTATTCCTGGCAGTCCTCAGCTTTCTTAATGTAAAAGGGAAACAATAATAATACTTACTTTTTTTTTTCAGATTGTGATGATTGAATAAACTGATTTGGGTAAAGACTAAGAGTAGTGTTATACAGAGTACGGTTCAATAATGTCTACTATTACTCTGTTAATGTTATTTATTGTATGTCATCTTTACGTAAATACTTTTTATTTTATTTTACATTTTTGTGTTTTTGGAGGTCAACCTGGAACCTATAGTATGCTAGGCAACTGCTCTATTGGTGAGCTACATTCCAAGAGTAAAAATACCTTTTTTTTTTTTTTTTTGGTGTACTGGAGATTGAACTCAGGGTCTCATGCTTGCTAAGTAGGCACTCTACCACTTGAGCCATGCCTCCAGGCCTCCAAAAATAAAATACCTTTTAAAAGAATTCGAGTGACTTCATATAACACTGACACCATTTCTGTTGTTTCTAAAACAAACCTTTTGAGCAGTTTTAATAGAATCAGAGTGTAAAAATTAATGTTAAACAAGCAGTCATGAGGAGGAGGAGACGCAAAGAAGGGCTAGAAATAATTCAAGTTGTCATTTGTTGGAAGCAAGGGACTGATTTTAGAATAAAACCTTTTTTTGTGGTCTTGAAATTTGGACATGGCATCCTTTGGGTTATATTTTACTTACTGCATAAAGGCAAATACAAAATGGATCTAAAAATTACAGCCAGTGCTATAGATTTCACTGATTTTTGGTTGAATTGTTTGCTTTAATAATAAATGATACTTTGGTTTAAAATTTAACTTTAGAGCTTTAGTAGAATTCTCACCTCTTTTTTCCCTCTCAATCCTACTGTTCCTATTTTGTTCAGGTTCTTCTGGCTGACAAAATGTTTTTGTAATAATTCATGTTTGAGAAAGTATAGGAAATATATGTTATATAGTAAGTGTAATAAAGATACAATGATGGCTTTTCCAATTCTGGACACACTTTTAGCCACTTAAAGGGCTTGGTTTACTAAGAAAAATATTAATTTTGTTTGAAGTTTTAGCTTACACATTTTATGAAGTAATGCCTTTTTTTTCTTCTTTAGATATTCCCTTCTGATTAGGTGGAATATATGATTCTCATTACTTTGCATTAGTTCCAGAGAAGATGTCACTTTTAGCCTATAACTTTTTATACTGTCACTTGTGCTATAATACTGTATTGATAGAATGATCATGATGATATTTTGGCTGTAATTACTCTTTAAAATTATGCATGTATATTTGAGAATATACAACAGTGGCTTAATAAGTAGTCATTGGCCCAGTCGTCAAGTATGCACACAAGGCAAAGGAGGGCCAAGCCTAGTCCTGGCTGAATTAGCTGGTAAAGCTCCAGTGAGCCGCTTTTAGATTCAGGTAGTTTTTTACTTAATTTGCACAGAGAAAGGAAGGTAGCCAGAGGTACCAGCTTCCTGTGGTCCTTGTTTTCTATTCAGAAAGAATGACACTGAAACAAAAGAGATGGATTTTTTCCAATGTAGTTATGGGATACCCCATTGTTTGAGAAGCTAATTCTAGAATGCAGCTAAAATAGTTTTTATATTCTGCAGCTGTGTTTTTAAGGGGAGCGAAGCAGAAACCTTTATACCTTCTGATTACTAAGAGCTGCTGAGAAGTTATCTGATTACTGTCTTAACAGAAGAGATGTGGAGGTGAATGGAGGTAGTTTGTGGTAGTGTCTTACCAGCCTTCCATTCTTTTGTGTTTTCCAAAACTCTTGAGTAGCTAAGGTGAAAGCCTTTGTCCTCTGTGTCCTATGTGGTGATATGTAAGGTTACAGAGGGAAGTAGAGAAGCTGCTTCTCTAAACTTATAGCACAGGCCATCGAAAATACTAAATTAAAGTAACAAAAATGAAATTTGAGTTTTTCATAGAAAAATTTATGTTGACTGGATTACATCTCTGACTGATTTCTGATGCCTAATCTACAAATACATTGTTTAGTCAAAATGATATACTTACATAGTCTTGAATAAGGAAAACTATTCTAAAGTACTGTAATCATTACCACTCCAATATACTTTTGTCCAATTTTTATTGAAAGTACGTGGCCAGTAGGTTCAGCTGGATTGCGACAAGATCTTTTGAAAAAACACTGAAGATACCGTGGGTTTTTGCTTTACATTTGGAGGCACAGGCTTGCTACATTCTCAGTGTGAGAGTCAGGTGTACTTTTGTGATTCTAGGGATTAAACCGAGGGCCTCATGCATTCCAGGCGAGTGCTATAACCACTTGAGCACCCCCAGTCCAAGAGTCAGGTTTTTAAACACTGGTACCATTAGGACCACAGCCTCAGAAACCATATGTGTTTGCCTGTTCTTAGCCTTAAATACCCAAAGGTCATATAGACAGAACTGGAGGAACACAGAGAGTTTGACTACTTTTTATAGCACAGTATAGCGTATTGGTTGATCTGACATACTGCGTGACATCCATAAATCATTTTTTTTTTTTAAAAATTGGATTGCAGTCTATTAGTGGGGGCAAAAAAAAAAAATAGAACATACCAGACTGCAATGCAGACATTAGGGTAAGTGTTGTTTTAAGAAACTAATACTTCCTATGACATGTATGTAAACTTCCAAACCTGTTTTGTCTGTGTATTTAGAAAATACACAAGAATCTTTATCAAACTTCAAAATATAAACTTGTGAGCACTAAAAAAAAAAAAAGAAAGAAACTAATACTTTAGGGGTGTGTGTGTGTGTGTGTGTGTGTTTAAAGTGATAGCAAGTGTAAACTATACTTGGTAATTGTGCATTTTGGCTAAAAATATTTGCTACTATGCCATAGATATTGTGACTATTTCAGATCTCACAGAAAATGTGTGCTTAAAATGTTTTGTTTTGTAGTTCTGATTTGTAGTTGAACACATTTCTTTGCAGTTAGCTTCTGGAATTTATACGTTTGCCTGCTCTCTGTGGAATCACCATACAGACACATTCCTGCAACAATTTTCTTCTGGCAATGAAGCTGCATTTCTAAGTTCACTAGAACGAACTCTACTATCATTAAAAGGTACTATTAAGTTTGATATATTGATGTTTGAAATGGCATACCTCAGAAAAGTCACCATCTTCTGGATGGATTCCTTTTCCTGACTGCAGTGGAAAAATAAGCACCTAATTTCTCCCAGGAATACAAAGGCTTATGGTCTTTGGTTTTCTTTTGTGAAAATAACTTTTCCTCTACCCTGACCTAACTTATGAAAGCATCTAGTCAGTTGAAGTAGATAACTTACATTCATGTTACTGTGGCCTCTTGCCTCTGAATATATTCCTTGCATGTACCTTCAATATTTGTTTGTACGTTTTATTATTCTGGCCCTTAAACTTATCATTTGTCTTGCTAACTTCCCTAAAGTCTTGAGGCTTGGTTGAGTTTGGGTTTCTAGTCCTCTTTTCCCTAGGAAAGTTAATCTTTCACATTTGTGCCTCGGGTTTACCTGGCTTTTAGGAGATGCTTAGAGGGATGATAATCTTAGCCTTTGCTTCTTACACTCGCTTATGAGCATTCCTGAAGTATAATTTCCATTTCACTTTCCATGAGCTGAGTCAATTATCTTGATGAATATATTCTGAGGTTCCTTGACCTCCTACAACACCCGTTTGTCTCATTCTCCTTGTCTTCCAGTCTCTCTCCTGGCACCAGTTCTGGTTGCTAAGACTCTTAGTTTTTTCTTTTGTTGTTTTTGTAGTTATTTTGTTGTTACTGTTTTATCTCATAGGACCTGTTTCTTAGTACAACTCACTGTGCATTCTTCTCAGTTTCATTTATAAACTGTTTTATCGTGCTCACCTTCATACCTTGGAATCCTACCATGTACTCTTGGCACAACCCTATCACTTGGATTGACCAGACAGAGGGAGGTACAACCCCAAACTTTGAGCACATTTTGGCAAAGTCTGTAAACAAATACGGAATGATTTTAACTGACTGTTGATAAATAAAATTCATTACACTGGTGGCTATACAAGTGAGCAGAGATGATGTTGTCACCACCTTTTTTGGATGGGGCGTGGATTGAACCCAGGCCTCCCACATGCAAGGCCAGTGCTCTAACACTTGAGCCATTCCCTCAGCCCCCACCTTTTTTTTTTTTTTTTTTTTTTTGAGAGAGAGCCTTGTTAACTTTGCCCAGGCTGACCTTGAACTCACAAGCCACCTGCCTTGCCTACCAAATAGCTGGGGTTACAGGTATGTATTACCACAGCTGGCTTGTCACCATCTTTTGAGGAAGGAATTAAAAGGCCTTGGAGTGAAATGGTTTCACAGAAAGAATTAGGAGAAGTTAACATAAGTCTGGGTATAGATGACTTTGTAGATTATACAGTATTTAATGATTTTTGGAGTTCTTTTGATTAGAGGGTTTTCTTGCCCTCCTGATTTCAAAATTGAACTTTTGAGCCAGAGGAATGTAGCTCTAACTCTTTCTTAGCCTGCTTTATGCTTTTCACTACCTCCTCATCTCAAGGCCTTGAGCATACATGAGCTTTATAAAGCAAACCGTCATAGAAAATATTATTCTTGTAAATTTCTGTCTTAAATGAAGAAATAAGTGGGACCACGATTCTTGTTACATGTGATCTCTGTCTGAATTTACAATAAGTGCATTTAGTATCTTTTAGACATCATGCATTCATTATTTCATTCAACAACTTTGTAGGTATTTGATCCTGAGGAGACACATGTAATAAAATGGACACACATACATGTATAATGACATCCATGATAGCAGCTTTACAGGCTTATGGTAACTGATGACAGGGTCAGAAAAGACTTGTCAGAGAAAGTGATATTTCAGCTACAATCTTAAAGGAAAAGTAGACATTAACTAGCAATGAAGGAGAAAGAAAGGACCTTCCAGGTAGTATGGACATAGTAACACCTGAGTTGCATATAATTGATGTTTTTTATATTGGTAGAAGGTCTTGTAGATAGTCATATTCTAAACTTCATTTTAATGCAGTCTTTAGGCTTCACCTCATGAACATTATCTAAAGGATAATTCTTTAGCTATATAGATAGCAATGCTTATTTAATAAAGTGGCTTTAAATCCTTGGCTCCTGTTCTTATCCTTATCATTGCAAAATTGTAGTGTTATATGTATTTATATTATTCAGTCCTTTAGTAAAGTCTATGAGATAGGATTGTTAACCACATTTATAGATAAAGAAAGTGAAATCTAGAAAATTTGCACAATTTATATGGTTATAGAATAGACATTGAAGAAAGGATTTAAATCTAACACATCTGACTTTAGATGTGTTAGTCCACTTGTCTCTCTGTGCACACTAGTTTCTCAGAGTTACTTATAAGATGTGATGCTTATAGTTGAGCACTGTAGTCTATTACAGATTTGGAAATAGAGTTTAATTCTTATATCCTTTTTAGGGAGATACTATGTTTCTATGTAGCCTAAAACCGAATGAAAGTTTTTTTTTTTTTTAATTTAAATCATATCTTAAGGCTTGTAGAAGAGATTACCTCAATTTCAGTTATTGCAAGTAAGAAGTACTAACAGTTAATGAAATTAAGCTTTTGTGAGTCACAAGAACTGGCCTTTGTTCCATCTTTCCCACTAAGTGCCCAACCAAATGGCCAGGGGTCAGTTCTTTTTTTTTTTTTTTTTTTTAATTAAATGAGAGAGTAGGAAGTCAAATTAACCTTGAAACTTGATTAGATTTTGTGATTCAGAGTCTATTATAATGGTGATTTTAGTGGGATAAAAGCTGAAAGATAAGATTCACATAAAGCTTCCTTTTACTTTTCAGTGCTGCGTAAGTTAACTGTTTATGGATTTGTGGAACCTCATAAGAATATGGAGGTGATGGTAAGTGATAGAAGTAATTTCTTCCTTGTGACTTGGGGACAGTGTTTGATATTCTCCTGAATGTTTTAAACTGTATTCTTTTTATCGTGAATTTGTTTAAAACAGTTCTTGGTAAGTGACCGTCTAGTTTTTTACCATTTTGCCTGTGTTATAATCAATTTTTAGATTTCTGATGTTTTGACTACATCAAAGTGACTTTTGTACAAAGGAGAGGAAATAGGCCCAGGATAGTTCTCAACATGCCTTGTTACATTTATAATGTTAATTTGAATTGAAATGAAAATGAATTCCTGTGAATTGAATGCTATTTTAACATTATCTAAACATTGTATTAGTATTTATAGCCTAAATGTTTTCCCTATTTAAAAGTGAAAATTTCCCTTTGATCATGACATTAATATATCTTGTTTACAATGAATTTGAAGAATAAATATAGGGGCTGGGGATGTAGCTCAGTATAGGGTGCTTCCTCTAGGCTGTGTGAGGCCCTGGGTTTGACCTCCAGCACAACAATAACAGCAAAAAGGAAAAAAAGAAGAAAACAGAAAAAAAAAAATCACAGACACATAGGAGGAAAAAACCTTAGATAAACCCGTACAAGTTGTGATGTATACACTGTTGTTATATGATGATCTACTATTCCAAGATGCATTTCCCCCCTTAAAAGAAGTGAGATTTGTACATATTCTGATGTGTATCTTCATAATGAATTTCTTTCAGCTGAGATACTGCTTCCCATGAATTTACTTTGGAGACTGTAAGAATCAAAGAAAAATACATCTAATTGCATCTTTTGACATCCCTTAAGGGAGATTTGACCAGAGCCACTTTTTTTAAAAGAAATATTTAACATATTTTATGTATTGGTAGAATTTCAATTAAAGTGATGGTTGTGTTTTAAACCCACTAATAAATTATATATATATGTATATATGTATGTGTGTGTATATATATCTATATCTATATATATAGATATATATAAAATCATTTGTTTCATAAGAATGTACATGCTTATTTTTTAAAAGTTTACAAAAAAGAATTCAAAAACATTTATAATTTTACTACTCAGAGGTATTTCTAAAATTTATAAGTATCCTTTAAGACATTTTCCCCATGTATTCTCTTTTCCTCAGTTTTATATAAATGGGACCATATTTACATGCTGCTTCCTTACCCACTTGAAAAAAGTAGTTTTTTTTTTTTAATTAAGCATGTTAATATTGTTATGTCATGTTTTTTAATGATTGTATGGTATGTTTGTATGATTACTGTCAGACTCTTTTTAATTGATAAATTAACATAGTATTCTTATAATTTTGTTGGCTAATTCTCTATTGATACATTAGTATGTTTTCAGTTTTTAATCATTGAGAAAAGGTACTGGAACCAATATTTAGTGCCTGTGTCAGATACTTAGCAAGTTATATGTTTAGGATACATTCCTAGAAATGTAAATGTTGACTTAATGTATACCCACAATTACAAAATTGATACAGATAACGAAGCTGCTGGAAGATATGTAAAAAAGATACATCAGCCTCAGTTTTAAACATTGATACATTTTAATGGCTCTACTGCTGGCAAAGATTTTCTAGAAACCAATTGGGCATATCCTCACTACAACGTAAGTTCCATGAAGGCAGGGACTTTGCTTTATTCATTGTTCACTCCAGAGCTTGGAACAATCTTTCCTACATAATAGGCTTAGGAGTTATCTACGGAATGAACGCGTATATGTCAGAAAGTACATGTAGCATGTGTAATATGACTTTCTCCTAAAGTGACATTAGGAGATTGTGTTTGTCTTTTTTTCCCCCAGAGAAAGCAGATTGATTTGAATTATATTCTTATAAGGTAGAATAGTGGTTTTCAGTGGATACTTTCACAATCTTGTAAGCTATTTTCTTTTTCTTGAATTCTGTTTTGAGTCTGTTCTCTGTCTCTGAAATTATATGCCAGCCTTTGCTGTTGTATATGTCTTATTGTATTAGTAAAGATACATTGACCAGTAGAAGTTAAGTACTTTTCAAGTAATATAAAGATCTTAAAAATAACAGAATTTAAAAGCTGCTGCAGAGCTTATATAGTATTGAGATTTTTCGCTCAGGAGGCAGTCCCATTTGCATCTTAAAGATGGCCGTTCTCTGATAGTGTGGACTTGGGTTATTTACTTATCCTGTTTGATACTCATTTTCCTTTTTGGCAATATGGAGGTGAGATAATAGTCCAACCTCATGGTATGTTGTGAGGATTAAGAGAGATAATGATTTTTATAATGAGCTTGGCAAGTAAAGCGCTCTGGAATTACAGTTTAATGGTTATTTTAATTTGAGTTTTTGTTCTATTATTACTGTGAAGCCTTAGTTAAATTACTTTGTTTGGACTACAGATTAGTCAGCAGTCTATAATTCTATACATTCTCTGGATGGACTTATTAAAATTGATGGTCTCTATGATTTTTTACTTTGTTTGGAGAGTGCTGACTGATACAGTTGTTCTATTTTGAAAAAAAAGACCACCCAGTAACATTCTTCTGGCTTATGGTTACCATAGGGGACCATTGGACCCCTCTATAGATTTAAGATGCATATTGGGACCTTAGTGATCTTATGTTTTTGAACCTTTTTGCTGTTTCATTATTCTAGAAATTATCACGATGTTATTGTCAATTATTCCTCCAAAGACAAAAATAATAGGAAAGTGGGAGAATGATGGAATTGCCAAAAGCATGATGCAATCAATAGTGAAATTAATTGTTTTTTGTAGTTTACTTGTGCTGCCCATTGTATTGCATCGTGTTCCAAGAAGTTTTTTTTTTTTCTTTTATTATTCATATGTGCATACAAGGCTTGGTTCATTTCTCCCCTCTGCCCCCACCCCCTCCCTTACCACCCACTCCGCCCCCCTCCCTCTCCCGCCCACCCCCTCAATACCCAGCAGAAACTATTTTGCCCTTATCTCTAATTTTGTTGTGGAGAGAGTATAAGTAATAATAGGAAGGAACAAGGGTTTTTGCTGGTTGAGATAAGGATAGCTATACAGGGCATTGACTCACATTGATTTCCTGTGCGTGGGTGTTACCTTCTAGGTTAATTCTTTTTGATCTAACCTTTTCTCTAGTTCCTGGTCCCCTTTTCCTATTGGCCTCAGTTGCTTTTAAGGTATCTGCTTTAGTTTCTCTGTGTTAAGGGCAACAAATGCTAGCTAATTTTTTAGGTGTCCTACCTATCCTCACCCCTGCCTTGTGTGCTCTCGCTTTTATCATGTGCTCAAAGTCCAGTCCCCTTGTTGTGTTTGCCCTTGATCTAATGTCCACATATGAGGGAGAACATACGATTTTTGGTCTTTTGGGCCAGGTTAACCTCACTCAGAATGATGTTCTCCAATTCCATCCATTTACCAGCGAATGATAGCATTTCGTTCTTCTTCATGGCTGCATAAAATTCCATTGTGTATAGATACCACATTTTCTTAATCCATTCGTCAGTGGTGGGGCATCTTGGCTGTTTTAACACAGATGGAAAACACCATTCCTTTAATCTACTCTTAGCTTTTATTTAACATAGTTGAGAATTCAGAATTTTTCGTTTCCTCGCTGAAATGGCAAAGAGAAGAAAATTGACAGAGGAACTGTTCCCTACATTTTAGATGACTCAGAGGTTGGATGTTCCAGACTGAGAGCAGCGCCCTAGACAGATGATAGTGAAATTGATCGTCTATGTAAAATCCCAGATCATAAGTCTTCAGATGATGATATCCTAGTTGAATTTTCTCAAACTCAAGGAGTGATGAATTAACAGTGTATTTCTAAGGACAAAGAGGAGATGAGGCATTCTAGAGTTAATCGTTCCTTAGAAAGGACCTTTATCGTCCAATACTTTTTTACAAATCCACCGTATCCCATTTGCTGAAAGAGCATGTAACATCTTTTAGGATGTTTATACACCCAAGGTAAACTTATTTACCCAAAAAAGTTGCTATGTATATGTTCTTACTAAGTTTTTGTTTTCTATTGTCCCTTCATATTTACTTACTTCTGTAAATTACTCATAACATGTCTTAACACATATTTTAAAAAAAAAAGGATCTATTAGACCAAGCTGGTTCCTGGTATGTAAGGGCCAATGTGTCTAATGCTTGAAGTTTAAGAACCTGTGGTTTAAACGGCTGGTGCCAAGGGCTGGGCACCCTGTATCATGTGTGTAACTCCAGCTATTTGAGAGGTGGAAGAGATTGTGAAGATGGTGGTTCTAGGTTGGCCCATACAAAAAGTTAGATCCTTCTCAACAAAAAACTAGGCATGATAGTGCAGGTTTGTAATTCTAGCTACGTAGGAGGTGCAAGTAGGAGGATCAGAGTCCAGGTCAACCCAGGGAACAACAGCAAGTAGTATCAGAAAAACAGCTAAAGTACAGAAGGCTGGGGATATGGCTCAAGTGGTAGAGCCTAGGAATCAGGAGGCCCTGAGTTCTAACCCTAGTGCTGCAAAATAAATAAGTGGTACCAATTACTCATTTACTGAGTACTTCTTATTATTAAATGTTCTTCCTGGATTCTGGATTAGAGTAGTTAACAAAGTTGTAGCTGTTAAGGAGCTTACATTCTAGTGTGTGGAGCCAGATAATATATAGACAAACAGTATGTCAAAAGGTAAGGCCGTGAAAAAAAATTAAACAGATTGAAGAATTGAGAGTGCTTAGTGGCATCATAGAATAATTAATGAATAATTTAAAATTATTGCACTGTGATTTATGTAATTGAAATGAGATACTGAAGAGTAAAGTATACTTTTCATATAAGTATAGTATCTATAGTTATTTTCTTGTGGAAGATGGGTTTATAATAATGAATTATTGTTGGGTGTGATGGTGCACACCTGTAATCATAGATGCTTGGGATGCTGAGGCAGCAGTATTGAAAGTTCTAGGCCAGCCTGGATAACTTATTGAGAGCCTATCTCAAAATGAAAAGGCCCGGAAATGTAGCTCAGTGGTAGAGTGTTTGCCTAGCAACACTCTAGTGTGAGGCCCTGGGTTTGGTCCCTAGTACTGCCCCAGCTCCACCAATGTTATTACTTTATTAGGTTTTGGATTTTTTTTTTTTTTTTCTCTTCGAGACTGGGTCTTGCTGTGTAGCCCAAGCCTGACTTCGATCCTGCCTCAGCCTCCCTAGTCCTGGGATTACAAATCTGTGCTACCATGATATGCTAGATATGTTTTAGTATCCCTGAAAAAAAGTACAAGGTAAACGTTTGTAACAGAATAAATGAGGTACCTTATTCTTTTCTAGGGCTTTTTACATGGAATATTTGAACGTCTGAAACAGTTTTTGGAATGCAGTAAGTATTTCCCTTGGAGTAAGAACTCTTACTATAGAAATGTTATTCATTAGAGGTTATTCGTTATTGATTAAAGGCTAGGATTAATGAAGGATTAATAAAGATTAATGAGGAGTCCTCATTTGTTAACAGTTTCTGCTCTCCAATATGCAAATCTGGAGACTGTTTTGTCTGAGTCTCCCATTCATTGAACAGTCTGAGTGAGCTCTTTGTGGCAGGCAGATCTTATATATAGCTAAAATTGCTATCTGATATCTTGATAATTAATTTTTTGAAGTTAGATGAGAAGGTTAGCTTTGTCTTCATATACCTGCCTTATCCTGAATGTAGAGAAAAGGATTTTTCTTTAAAAGACCTATTTTGGATGTTCATTCCTTTCATTAATTTCTACTGTCACTATCCATCTACTCCCCCTGTTCAGGCAAACATCCACAACAATTATATGTTGAACAATATTAAGCGTACGCTATATCTCAGATGGTATTTAGATTTCTTGTAGACTCTATTTCTTTCAGTATGGTTCACTTATCTCTGAGATAATAAATTTCTTTCAGTTACTTTTGTGTATATTCCTTATTCATGAACCCGCTCATTTATCTTTGGAATGCTTTGTAATCCTCTATTCCCCAACCCCCATGCAGAGAATTTAGCATTTGTTTCTGTGTTACATTTTATTGACGGTCTATATTTGTGTTATATTACATTTTATTGGTGATCTGTGCGTTATCCTCTCCTGTGTGATTGTAAAAACCTTTCCTTAGGACCCACACACGTGCGTGCATATCCTGGGGGTTTGTGTGTTTGGAGATTTGTTACGTTGAGGAGAGTCTTAATCTCACTTTTTATGATTGTTTTCAGTCAGTTGTTTTCAGTTTAGTAAAAAACATTATTGAACCTGTTGCCTGGTGCTCTCCTGGGCACTGTACATGCAGAGATAAATAAGACAGTTTGTATTATGTAGTAAATTTGAAAAGAAAGAAAGATCATTTTTCTGTGGCTATCACTACAGGAGTAGCAGAAGGAAGAATGCAAGATGAGATAAATGACAAAGCAGTTGTGGAGATTATGATTAGAGAGCAAGCAAGTTGATGGGCTGATGGGTGTTATTCTGAAAGTACAAAATTATAGCAGAGGAATTGTCAGAAGAAATTTGTTCTAAGTTGGGGAAAATGATACTAAGTATGTTAGTCTTTGAATGCTTAATGTGACTTGAAAAATACATCAACCACAAGTGATTGAGTCTTTGAGAAGGTGATTCATGACTCGTTGTTAAAATTGTCCATTTACTTTAAAATGGTTTCAGTTATGGTTAATCTTGTGCAATGTGGCACTATTGATCCCAGGGTCTATTATTAAGTGCAATCTTGTTACTGCTTTTTAAATAATTAATTCATAATGCAAAATATGCAAAAATGTATCTCAGTGTTACTTTGTAAATGTTTTGGTACCTTGTGAATTTATAGAATTTAATTAAAATCGTGTTCTAATGATTGAAATGTATTTTTACCAGGCAGAAGTATAGGTACAGATAATGTATGTAGAAATAGACTGGAAAAGGCCATCATCCTTTTTACTAAAGTGGTAAGTTTTCTTTTTATCTTAAGTATGTTTTCCTAAATATAATACCCATGCTCAGATTTAGACAGCCTGATCTCTGCCTCCTGAGTATCTAGGACTTCAGGTGTGAGCCACCGGTACCCGGCTTTAGTTGTCTGTATTTATTACATTCCAAGTGGTCCCAGCAGCAAAAGCCGACTTAAGTTTCTAAGGTCCAGTGTAAAGTTAACCTAGATCCTTGACGCAAAGCAAAGCAAAGCAAAGCAAAATGGGTTGAGGAAGTTAATCTGTAGGGCTGGGCAGTGTGTCTCACTGACACTTTCTTGCATCTCTCCTACCAACAGTCCCAATCCATATGTTAATTATATACGTAAAAAATTTAAAGGTATTATTTAGATGGTTTGTTTTAGAAAACATATTGATTGATTACTAACCTACTGGGTTTTCCAGTTCTGTCTCTTAACTCTAGTTTATTTATTTATTTATGTATTTTTAAAGAAAATGTTGACAGCAATAATTTCAGTTGAGAAATTTGTATTCACGATCTGTAGGACTTTATTAAAACTTTTAAAGCTGTGCATGGTGGAACATGCCTCCCATCCCCGCATTCAGGAGGTGGAGGCAGAAAGTGCACAAATTGAAGAGTAGCTTGAACTATATAGGGAGATCCTATCTCAAAAACCCAGGGGGATGGGGAACCCTTAATTGGGACACTTTAAACACGGATCCAAATAGAACTGAATAACTTTGAGTGTCCGTGAAGTAATCACTCAGCTTCTGCAATTATCAGCATGGTCAGTTCTGTTTTATCTGCATGCTTCCTCCCTCTCTTCACTCTCGCTGATTATTGTGGAGCAAATCCAAAGTATATCATTGGTTTTGTTTTGGTTTTTTTGGTTTTTTTACGACACTGGGGCTTGATCTCGGGGCCTCACGCTTGCTAGACAGGCGATCTTAGCGCTCGAGCTACTCCACCAGCCCTTATATCATGTTTTTGGTAAATATTTGAGTATGTATCATTAAAGTGGTAAGATTTTTCTTTAAAAACATGAACTTAACACACTGAATCACATTTAAAAATAGAAATGACTTGTTCATATGTTTTAAATATCTACTTAGTTTTCAGATTTTTCTGTCTTACAAAATTTTCGGGTTGGTTTATTTGATTTGGCTCAAACGGTGTCAGTTATCTTCTCATGTTTTTTCCCCTGGCTTTTTATTTGTTGAAGTAACAGGTAACTTCCTGTAGTGTTTTCTCATGTATTATTTAACATTTTCTTTTGTCTCCACACTCCTCCTCCTGTGTATCTTATCAATTTATAGTTAGATCTAGGGGCTTGGTCATCCAGGTTTTTTTACTGTGGGAGAGGCTAGGAATGACGAGCATTCCATAGGTGGTGCTGTGTATCTCACGTTGCGTCACAGGGAGGAACATGACACTTGGCTGGACTTACATGAGGGGTGAGCTGTGGGAACTCTTCAGCAGCCTTTCCCCTCTCCATGATCATTCTCGAGATCCATTATCTAGTTACAGGTTACAAAATGATTACATTCTCTCTCTCTTGTTCCTTTTGTATTTATTAGCTGGAATTCTTCTGTAAAGGGGAAATCTCCTTCAGCAAGTGTTTGATACGTTGAAATACAGTTCATACAGGAAAGGCAGAATTATTTTTTACTGTTCCCCTTATTACTTTGAAAAAGTCTACCTTTGTATACTTAATGCTTTTTGTTTTACACTCCCCCATTGTTATCAAATTAAACATGAAGTGGGTCTGTTTTGGTTCCTTTATTGGAAATAATAGTAAATTCTTTTTCTGTGATATAAAGTGGGAAAATCCACATTCTGAGGTACAGTCAAACCTGCATACAGAGAGAGTCCCCAGCAAGGCTTGAAGCTTGGAATTATGCATTGGTAAATCTATGATTCAAGTGATTATCTTCCAGTTTGGATTTGGAAAAACTATGTTTTAATTTTTTTCTTCATAGCTTTTGGACTTCTTGGATCAACATCCCTTTTCATTTACTCCTCTAATTCAGAGATCACTGGAATTTTCTGTGAGCTATGTTTTTACAGAAGTTGGTGAAGGTGTTACATTTGAACGATTCATTGTCCAATGCATGAATCTTATTAAACTGATTGTCAAAAATTTTGCTTATAAGCCATCCAAATATTTTGAAGGTAATATTCTATTAGTTTTTTCTCCCCTTTTCATTTATTTATTCTAATCCTTGAAGTAATTACTATTTTCTATGAATTTTTCTTGAAATTTGTCTATTTTAGTCTGAAAAATAAACTGTTGACGTGACAGAAATAGAGAAAAGGATCACAGTCTTTAATATGTGAATATCAACTTTTAAGAAACTACACAGTGTGTTTCGTAAGCTGTCTTTTTTTAGTACAATAGAAGATTGGCTGAAGCTTCGAGATTTTTAAGAATTATATACTCCCCAATAACCACTGCAGCTAGTGTTGTACTCAGTTGAATAATCAGAAGTTTTCTCTGATTTTCTATAAAGTCCGGTTGCTTGAAGACAGGCTAAATTGTTTGCTATTTTATTGAGAATTCATTTATGTGTATATGAACCAAGATGAATGAGGAGGTCTTGTTGGGTAAGGGTGGGGAGAGCGTGAGAGTGAGAGGTCACTTTGAAATATTGTGATAGTATAGCACAGTAATGTGCAAGCTGTAGTGGTAAGACAGCTGGATTGATGTAGGTGTATTATAAAGGAAAGGGTATCTTTGAAATTTGCTCACATTAAAAAGATAACCAATTATATCGTTTTCCCGTGAGAGTGTATTTTTCATTTTGGTTATATAATCTAACTTAGAATGTTTGCCTGTACCAGTAACTGGGAAATTTTATTTTTCTAGACAGCAGCCCCGAAACGCTTGAAGCCCATAAGATTAAGATGGCATTCTTCACATATCCCACATTGACAGAGATATGTAGAAGATTAGTTTCTCATTATTTTTTATTAACTGAGGAAGAGCTGACAATGTGGGAAGAAGATCCAGAAGGCTTCAGTAAGAATTAGTTTTTTTTCAGTTTTTGCGTGGCTTGCCTCTCTCCTCCAGAAACAGATAATTCTTTGAATGATAGGTATAATAATACTGTATTTTAATGTGAGAGTTTTAATCAGGGAATCTTGGGTTTTCAAAATTAACCTTTTGTCTTACGCATTAGAATAAATTGAGAAGCAGAAAGTGAGTGACTTCCTTCAAATATGATGGAAAATTTTGCCTAGAAAGACACCCTTTAATTTTTAGATTTCCTCATAAATACAGTTTAAAACAAAAATAGAAAATAAATTCATCTGTGTTGTCAGTCAGTTTCTATTTCTTGATTCATTCCATATTTTAAAAAAAAACTAAAAAAATGTTATCCTCATATAATAGTTGTACAGGGGGATGAAACTTTGGGGATGCTTATCTTCCTTCTCTTTTTATTCAGAAAATAAATAACACTGCACGACATATCCCTCTTTTTTGTTTGCTTTTTCCTAGCTAGAATCTTATGTTTCAATTTGCTTTTTCACTTGCACTGAGTCTCTCGGTTATTGAGAGTCCTGACATATTTTACTTTAAATACAAATACATAGAGGACATTTATGGAAAGTATGACTAATCATGTTATCTTGAAAAACAAGATTACTGTATTGAAATGAAATGATTCTCAGAGTGGTAGTGATGCTGTAATAGGTACTCTGGAAACATAGGTGCTTAGAGCTCTCTTCCATAAAGAATTGTTGGTCAAAGTGAGAATGCCTATGGATTTGATAAGCAGGTGATAGGTGGTCATAAGATACGTATGTGCGATTTGGAGCTCACAGAAAAGACATCTGTGTAAGACCTGTTTTCTCAAGTATTTGCGTTTAGTGCTGAAAGGTCTTCACAGAAATATTATATCGTTGTTATTGAAATCTTTGTTTCCCAAAATGAAATGTTTGAAAGCATCATTATCACATTTCTGGAGAGCATCATCTGTCATGTTTTTAGTTGCAGCAGTGGAAGAAATAGGAGGGGATTCTTGGAAATACAGTTTGAGGGTAAGTATTAATTGAAAGAAAACTCTACAGAGAAAAGCTTAGTCCTTCAAAAACTCTTAGTGGAGAATGACACTGTGTTGAAGATTCCAAACATTTAGTTAGACAGGTAGGAAACTTTATAATTGGAAGAAACTGTGTACCTAATAAAAAATTATTTAACTAAATTATCAGCATTTCCAAACTGAAACCATCCTCATTTGTTAGTGAGGTTGTTTGGGAAATAATCGTCATTGCACAAATGGACAGTGTTTTTGCAAGTGAAAGCTACCACTTTTTGGCTAGAAAGACCTCTCTTCACCCCCGCCCCCACCCCATTCTAAATATTTCCTTAATAAAACTATTTTCCATACCTTATTTCTCTTACCAAGTAGCATGATTCTCAGAGACCAGCACATTGCTATCAGTTAGAGAATGTTTTAAAAGCATCCTATTTATATGACATGTTTTACTTTTAGGAAGATTTATAAAATGTTGGTATTGAGGTGTGTTTTTGTTAAAACCTGTTTTTACATATCGTGTTACTGGTTTTCTATAAATCTATGATAGTGTTTTAGAACTATCTGATAGTGTTCAGAAGTTTAGGATTAGAAACCTGAGAAATGACCACAACTTCTAAACATGTAATGTGATTTTTAAAAACTCTCTCTTTCTTTATGGGTAAGAACAATCATATGAGAAAACAGAGTTTGTATTTCAATAAAATTGTAATTTTTCATTAAAAAAAAAAAAGAAAAGAAAAAGAAAACAGAGTGATATCTAATGAGCCTTTCACGATAATCTAGTTTTGCATGGATTATCTTGTCCTCCACCCCAGTGTTTTAAGCAAACTTATCTCACTGTCATTTAACCCTTATATATTTCGGCATGTATGGCTATACGATTCCTTTCTAAGCGTAAAGCAAAATACTGTAAACGATTAATTATAATGTTCTTAACACTTTTAAGAATCAAATAGTGATTGCTTTTTTAATGTAGCTAACTGATTTCTGTTGGTGTTTGTGTTTGTTAAAAGAAATGGTTCTTTTGATAGTGGAGTGAATTCATGAGTTCTTTAAAGTCATTGTACAGATTATCATTTATAGTGCTGAACTATAAAAGAGTGTGGCTACAAAAGGAGCCAGCACACTTGGCCCACAGAAAAATTATTTTTGAGTGCTTGATGCCAAGTGATTAAAATAATGAAATAAGGCTTCTGCTTGTTATGAATTAAATTATTATAACTTGCCCTTGTTTTCCATTGTGCCACAAAAAAAGTAGTGATCCTTTTCTTTTCTCTTTGCTGTATTGGGGATGGAACTCAGGGCCTCATACATACTAGGGAAGTACTCTTTTCACTGAGCTACACCCTCAGCCTCGGGAGTCTTACATTAACAAAAATAAAATGAAATAAAAAACTGGAAATGTTTCAGAATTGTAGGGTTAGGAGAATGAGTGCTTTTTGCTTCTATTGTAATAATCAATACAATATACGATTCTCTTTATTAGAAATTTGTCATTTCCTCCCTCCAGCCTTGCACTGAAGTCCTATTTATAGATATATTCCGTGAATATAATCAAACTCTTACTCCTGTACTTCTAGAAATGATGAAAACACTTGAAGGTAAGGTATGTTTTGTGATAATTTTATTGATCCATTTAACTAATGGTCAGCTGAAATAGCCTGTGTGCAATGTGTTATCTCGTAGGTCATATAATGAGTATGACTTTGACAATGACTGAATGTCTTTTTTTCCTGCAAGGATGGTGTTTGAGATAGGCCTTGAATTATTATTTGGAATGTGATAGTTAGATTTTGCTGTTGTAAACATGACAACAACATCATGCAGAATGCCAGTCATGTTGCTTGGGGAAATTGTCTCTCTAGAGCAGGTTGAGGGAATAGCGGAAAAGTTAAAGTACTACCTCAGAGCAGTGCTAGGGGGAATGGGAAGAAGGTGATGGATTTACACGAGGAGGATGAGGCAAATTTTAGATATCTGATCATTGCATTTTATACATAAGTAATTAATTGATTAACCATTAATGAACATTGATTTATGTTTTTGACTTTTCTGCTAGACTGTAAGTTCCAGGGCACGTTGTTCATGCCTGTTTTATTCATTCTTTATTTCCAGTGCCTGACATACTTACTTACTATTTGATGGTGGATTGACTTTGGTGACTGATGAAACATGTGGGGAAAGGGAAAGGGGCCAAAAGTGCTCCTGACCTTTTGAGTCGTCATGACAGGGAAGACAGAAATAGACTTTTTGTGCATGCGCATCAGGAAGCTTAGGAGAGAAAAGAGATTCAAAGACAGAATCTAAGGTTTTTATGCATACGTAGAGGAAGAGGTGAAAGGTCCTTCAAAAAAGTGAGGTCAGAAAATATCCCAGAAGTGTGAAGGGAAGTATAAGTGTATCCTGGTGAAGAGCATGTTGTCGGAAGTGGGAAGTGTGTGAAATGCTTTAATGAGGTGGAAGGCAGTCGAATCTTTTTGAGAGAATAGATTACCCATTTAGTTGGGACAGGAATCATGCTGTATAGGATCAAGAGCTGAGTAGCAGAAATGCAAGGACACACAGCAAGAGAATCTCTTGTAGGGAAGGAGATTCCTGATCTTGTTTGTGGTAAGAGTAAGCTTTTGTTCTTTGAGAAGCTCAATATTCTACTTAAAATAAGCCAAGGAGGGAAAATGAGCTATCTGCCCATTTTGTTTTAAAGATAATTTGAGCATTTTTGTACTTACGGGTTAACTTGTAGGGTACAAGTTACTGATTTCTTTTTTTTCTATTCTTCTTCTTTTTTGGTAGTACTGGGGCTTGAACACAGGGCCTTGAACTCAGAGCCTTGGTTCTTGCTAGACAGGCTCTCTACCATCTACCACTTGAGCCATGCTTGCAGGCCTTTTTGCTTTAGGTATTTTTTTTGACTAGGGCCTTCCATTTTCTGTCTGGGCTGGCTTGGACAGTGATTGATATCCTACTCACCCTTCCTGCATAGCTGAGATGACAGGCACATACCACTATACACTATACTCACCATTTTATTGGCTGAGATGGGGTGTGTTGAACACTCCCTGCTCAAATTTTGATCCTCCTGAACTCTACCCCGGGTGGCTGGGATTACAGAAAGAGCTGCTTGGCCCTGCTACTGATTGATTGATTGATTGATTTATTTATTTATTTTATTCCTTTGTGGATACAATGTTTTGGTCATTACTCCCCAGACCAAGGGTTTTTGCTAGTTGACGTAAGGATAGCTATATAGGGAGATTCCTAGCATTGCTTCCATGTACATATGTGTAATTACAGATTCTTAAATTTGATAGTATTTATACTGTCTATGTTACTTTGTGAATTTTTTTAATATTATTTGTGTTTTCTTCACAGTTTAGTTTTCTTAATTCACTGCAGGAAGGATAAGCTATTTAGATTACATTGTGATTGGTTGTTGTCTGCTGACTTCTGAGTTCAGTTTTCTTTTAGCTCTGTAGCAATTTGCATGTTTAGGACTGTGCTTATTCTAGCTGATTGGAACATTAAGATTAAAGATTTATGTTTGGCAGCAGCAGAGTGCTTTGAAAAAAACTTTTCAGAAGGTTTTCTAAAGAGATAATATTTCCTAAGTAAATTGTTTTCCATGTCAGCTGCTAGTTTCCTTCATGAATAGTAGCCTAGGCCGTCAAACTTCTTATTCTAAAGTGGTCACATTTCATAGTGACTGTCACTTTCGGTTTGTACTTTTCATTTTATTGTCACTCTTTATTTAATATACAGCGTGGAATACTACTTAGTCTTAACAAAGAGGGAAGCTGTGTTTTATGACAACATGGATGGAATTGGAGATTATGTCCAGTGAAATATAGCACATGTTCTCACTTCCATGTGAAATCGAAAACAGTCTAACTTACAGAAGCAGAGAGCAGAATGGCGTTTGGGGATGGGGAGAATGAGGAGATGATGGTCAAACGGTACAAAGTTGAGGGAGAGATAGTTTTTCTTTCTTAAAACTTCCATTACACACCGTGGCAAATATAGTTAGCACAGTTTTATTAAGCTCAGTGGTTTTATTCATTCTTGTATTTCCATATGGGCGTACGATGTACCCTGATTAAATTCACCTCCTTATTCCTCTCCCCTCACTTCTTAAAAGAATTTCACAGGTTTCGCTGGGCCATTTTCGTATATGCGTATAGAGCACTGCAACCATATTTATCCCCCTTCATCCTTCCCGATCCCACTGGTTCCCACTTCCAAAGAACCTGTTTCACATTGTTGTCATTCATTTTTAAGGAGTAGATTCCACATATGAGAGGGAACATTTAATGTTTGTCTTCTCAGTCTGGCTTATTTTGCTTAACATGATGATCTCTAGTGACATGTATTTTTCTGAATGATATAATTTCGTTCTTTGTGGCTGATTAATACTCCATTGTGCATATAGTTCTTACACATTTCAAAATTTCTAAGAGAACATTTGAAATATCACCACAAAGCTGTTAAGTATTTGAAATGATAAGTAATATTAACCCTAGTTTTGATTTAATTATTCCACACTGTATTAATAAGTCAGAGCATCTTTTTTCTACCTCATAGTTTTAGATAATTATAAATTGTTAATTACAATATCAGTAAAACAATAAAATGTTATTTAAAATATAATTTTCTATAGAAAGGCAGGTACTGCCTAAACTTACTCCCACATAAAATACAAAAAGTTGATCTTACAGAAGATGCAGGTAGAATGGTGGTTTCCAGAGGCTGGGGAGAATTGGGAGGGGTAAGAGGTGAGCAAAGTTTGATGAGCGGGTGCTAAGGTACAGACAGATAGGAGAAAGTAGCTCTGGCATGCTGTTGCACATTTTTGTATGACTGTATCTGACAACAAAGTACTGTGCATTTTAGAAAAATAGAAAGAAGAAAGGATTTTGAATGTTTCTACAAATGTTAAACCTTTGAAGAAAGATGTTTAATCTGATTTAAACGTTACACTATACACAGATATCAAAATATCACAAGCTGTCCTGTTAACATGTATAATGTTTATGTTTTTATGTATTAGCTAAACCTTAAATTAAAAAAAATATTATTTACCTTCACTGTTTTTTTTTTTTTTTTTTAATTTTAGAGCCCACCAGTGTGGAAGATATGCATGCATTGTTAATCAAAGATGCTGGTATGTTATTCTTACGTGATTTAGAAATATGTATTAACTCAGTGGACAAAGGGTCTGTTTTGTGGTAGATTTTGTGCAGGCTGTGTTGCAATACATGAGTAGTTAAAACACAGGGACTGTCTGGTGAGGGAGATTACCAAGTAAGCAGGCAATTATAACACTGTACAGGACAGTTAATGGTAGGTAAGTGTGTGGTAAGCACAAGGTAGTTTTCTATACTTAGGGAAAGATTCCTAAAGAACCACAATGTGAGAACTCAAGAGTAAGTAGAAGTTAGCTGTACAAGGGGTGACTGAACAGTATGTAGAAAGACTTGCAGGTGAGAGGAGCAAGCCCTTGTAGAGGCTGGAGTGTGACTTGTTTTGCATTAACTGGAACATGGAAGGTAAGTGCTTGTGGCGAGTGATGATACTGGAGAAAGATGAGCAAAGACCATATCACAAAATACTGCCTCCATTTAGAAGCAGATACTGAACTTTTTTGTTTTTTGAGACGAGATTTCATTATGTACCCAAGGCTGGCCATGAACTTGGCAGGTAACCCAGGCAGGCCTCCAAAGTGTTGGGATTGCAGGGCATGTGCCATTACACCTGGCTGTTCAGATACTACTTTATTTAATATTTTTTGTTACGGGGCTTGAGGTACTCTACCAGCCCCATTTTATGATTTGACCATAATACTAGAATTAATTTAATTTTCTACTTGAAATTTCTGAGAAGTATTTGGGGAAAACATGGAGAAAGTAATTTAAACCATGTCTCTAAAATGTTGATTTCAGTCATCTCCCCATCTAACAGAATATATATATTTTCCTTAATTAACATATTACATGTTTCAAAATAGGTTTAGTTTCTCTCTCTCTCTCTCTCTCTCTCTCTCTCTCTCTGTCTCTTTGTCTCGAGTGGGTAACTTGGACTGTCTTGGAACTTGCTGTGGATCCCACGCTGGCCTCGAACTTGCTACTTTCCTGTCTTAAGTGCTGGGACTACAGGTGTGACTGGTAGTATGTTTAGTGTTTTACATAAGGCCAAATATCTGAAATCTTTAATTTTCTTTATTAAATTTTCTTCTCAGTGTATAATGCTGTTGGATTAGCTGCTTTTGAGCTGTTTGACAGTGTTGATTTTGATCAGTGGTTTAAAAACCAACTTCTTCCGGAATTACAAGTCACTCACAATAGGCAAGTATAACATTTTATGTTTATTATACACTTCTTTTGACTTAATTGATTTTCTAATGGAAGAAAGGAGACATTAAAATTGCTTATAGTTTTTAGAAAGCCACAGTACGACTTAGTCAGCAATAGCTAGTATAGAAAAGACTGTAAGACTTGTGACTCTTATAACTGAAACTTCACAAAGAGTTGGCTTTTATGTTATTTTACTGCAAAAGTGAACCATCACATTAAGGAAGTATTTGACATTGTATATGATAGTTTGTAGAAAAAAAGAAGGAGGACTTTATGTAGAGATGTGAGAAGATAAAAGGTCTGTGAGTTCCAGATACGAACTATACACAAAAGAGGAACAGTTGACAGGTGCTCAGCCTGATGTCAGAAGTAGCCTCACCAAGGTAACGCCCATGCATGGTGACCGTCTTGGGGATCACATAAAGCCATACCACCAAGTTTTGCAGAGAGATGTAGAGATGTAGAGAAACCATGACAAAAAGCACTCGAATGTACTTCAGATTCTTACTAAGGTGTCTAACTCCATAGTGTAAATCCCTTTGATTTGCATTTAGCACTCTTGCCCATTTCTTTCATTTTATTTGTGTTTACGAACCTGCCTATTTTATTTTTCTGTGTTGAATGAAAAGAATGGAAGGGAAAAAGTCTTTCATAATTTTTTTAAAGTTTCTTTGTTTCAAATTAGAGACTCTTATCTAGTGCCTATTAGAATATATAGTTTATAGTCATAGATTAGGAAATACTTGTTGACTAAATTATTGAATGAATAGAAGGCCACCCAGTTATGGATCATTTTACAAACATTTAGAGCCTAGAGTTATAACATGGGAGATGCTTTGAAAGTAATTTTGACTAGTAAATAGTGATTTATCTCTTTAGTTTTTCAGTCATTTAGTCTGTCACCATGTTTTCATCAACTAGAATTTGCTACCTCTTACAGAGTCAAATTACCTTTGGCTGTGTCCTCTGGGAGCTAGTAAGCCTTTGATAAGAGAGAAAGCCTCCATTGGAGAGACCAATGTGAGGCCTAATTGTCCTTAAAGCATGGAAGTGATTTAGTTTAAGACTTTCGCTGCATGGTACAGTAGTTCCTCTCATGTGACTATTAAACACTTAAGATGTGTTTAGTGAAACTGAAGAAATAACGTTTCAGTTTGAGTTTATTTAAATTTAAAAATCAAAGCTTTTACCAAATATGTACTGATTACATGGTGAAGTGAGAGTATTTTAGGTGTGTTGGGATAAGTAAAAATATTAGAATTTCATTCATCCATTTGTTCTTTAATACAGATACTAATTTTTTAGGGGGTGGAGAGGTGGTACTGAGGTTCGAACACAGGGCCTCATGCTTGCTAGGCAGGCAGTCTGCTACTTGAGCTTTGTCACCTCCCCAGATGTCAATTTTTTTCTTTTTTTGTTGTTGTTGTTGTTTTACGGTATTGGTGTTTGAACACAGATCCTATGCCTCGAGCCACTCCACCAACCCTTTTTTTTTTTTCCTTTGGTGAATGGTTTTCTCCAGATAGGGTTTCTTGAACCATTTGCCCTGGCTGGCTTCGAACCACAATCCTCATGATCTCTGCCTCTTGAATAGCTAGGATTGCAGGTGTGACACACTGGCGCCCGGCTCCTAATATATTTTAAGTTACATAGTTGACATGAATTATATTTGTTAGAGTGCTAAAGTAGACTAGTGTTGCTCATACTTTAATGTACACACGACTCACCTGGTGGATAATATTGTTAAAAATGCAGGTTCGTTTTAGTAGGCCAATTCTCTCAATCCCAGAATCGTGATGCTGCTGGTTCAGGTACCATACTTTAAGGAACAAAAGTCTGCCTGGAAGGTTCTTGGATCTTGTAATTTGCCCTTCCTGAGCTTTGTTCTTTTTATCTGGAACAGAGTTGAATATGGTAATCTCCAAGATCTCAGGTCAAAAATTGATGGCAATTCACTTCAGTCTGTACAAACCTTGTTAGGTCTGCCTCTGTGACTTTGTTCAAACAGTTCCTAGTTCTTTAAATGGCATTTTTCCATTTTTCTGCCCAAGTAACATTTATCAAATTCTGTCTCCCTTTGCCAACTCTTCCTTTTCTGACATTTGAATATACTGCTTTATATTCTTGAATTCCTTGAGGTGAGTTATACAGCTTTTGAGGGTGGGAAATATTTATATATATTTTTTGCAACGTTAGGGAGGAGTTTTTCTGTGTGTTTGATGATGATCTTTTAAGATTGTAGTTTCCTTTAAGAACATAGCTTGTTCATTACCTTCTTCTATTTACACTCAAAAGTAAGTATTTATCACAGTGCCACTAAAAGATACCGTATGAATAGAATTCTTGGATACAAATGTTTTGAACTTTGTAATTTTTCTTCTTGCCTAAGAAAAATCTTAAGGAACTTTCATTTCCTTTAGCAAAGACTATCACATAAAAATAAATGTGTGTACATGTTATTGCTTATACTTTACAATTTAAAACTGAAAGCCATTATGTTTATAATCTGAGTCACATTCTATACTTGGGTACCTCTTTCAAAATCAGACCATTTGACATCAATAAGCTTTTATCATCATCATCATCATCATTATTATTATTATTATAATTATCATCATCATCAGTGCCGGGGGTCAAATGCAGGGGAAGGGCTCTACCACTGAGCTGTATCACCAGCCCTTGGTATTTTGAGAGAAGGTCTCACTTTATAACTCAAGACTGGTCTTGAATTCTGTGTGTAACCCAAGCTGGCCTTCAGCTCTAGATCCTCCTGCCTCTACCTCCTGAGAGCTGAGATTACAGGCTATTCTTTAGTGCAACAGAATCAGGGATACTATGTATGTGACTAAGAAATTTCATTTTTTTAGATGAGGATTTTATTTTTATTTTATACTGTGAAACATTGAGAAGTAGCTTTTAAGCTTTCATGTAAATGCAGATTGCATTTATTACTACATTTCAGTTTAAATGATGAAATTAATGAGTGAGATAGACTTCTTAAGATATTGAACATTGCAATTTCATGATTTTTCCCCACCTAGGTATAAGCCATTGCGGCGCAGGGTGATTTGGCTCATCGGTCAGTGGATTTCTGTGAAAGTGAAGTCCGACTTAAAACCCATGCTATATGAGGCAATCTGTAACTTGCTTCAAGATCAAGATTTAGTGGTATGTCACTCTGCCTCAGAAGCTACTCCAGAACTCTTTTCTTTCTGAATAATGGGTTCAAAGGGGAAGCTAGTTGCTATTACAGGTATGGAAAGTATAGCACCTAAGACAGTAATGGACTCTTTTACAGAGGAGAAGGTAGAATTTGTCATGGTTTGAGTTCATGCTGTTTTATCTGGAACAACTTAGCTGATAAAGTCAGAGGTAAAACTTGAGAGAATAAGAAGGTTATGTTGTAATGATACGATTTCCCGAGATATATGCTGGTACACAAAGGAAGTAGAATTACGGAGGTCAGGGTCTTGCGTAAAACCTTTCTGTATTTGTAAATTTTGGAATTTAGAAAATCTCAGATATATCCTTTGGGTATTCCAAGGGTTTGCTGAAAATGAAGTTTAGGGAGGGGAGTTTGTGTTCCTTCTCCTTTCCCGCTTTTTCCTCCTTGTCTGCTCCTATACCTTACTTAGGCATCTTCCCGCTCTCTCAGCCCCACCCTGTTTTTCTTCCTTCTCAGTCTTCTCTTTTTCCCTTGGCATCTCCCACGTGTTAATCTCCCTCAGTCCTATGTTCTCCATGTACTTACTGGCTAACTAATTTTCTTCCCGGGAGCAGCCACTGGAATAAAGGTTCCTTAAGCAAATTATAGAAAAGTATAAAGGGCAGGAATAAACGATACTTTATTTTTTCTTTTTATCTTGGGAGAAACTAAAGGGACCTATTATTTCCACATATCATAATGCTTCATGTCTTTAATAGTAACAACAATAAAGGAAGTGATATGGAATACAGTTTCTTTTTCATTAAATGCTAACTCATGTTCTAGAATGATTCTAGAATACTTAAAAACTCATAGTATACTTTGTTTTAGGTCCGGATTGAAACAGCTACAACTCTGAAGCTAAATATCCTTTTAAAAATCTAAACGTACTTCAATGCAAAGAAGCTTGTTAACTTACTTATTTTTTTATTTATTCACTCTGTTCCCTTATTCATGAATGCATGTGTGCAGTGGTTGAACCTAGGGCCTTGTGCATGGTAAGCAAGTACTCTGCCGCCGTGCTACATCCCTAACCCTGTCAACACTTTTGCATTATTTTGTGGCAGTGATTCGTGAGACCTCAAAATGTAGTTTTGAATGATTTGCTGTATTTTTATATCGGTTTTTCTCTTGATAAACTTCATGTATTAGTTCTCAGGTCCTTAACTGCTTTTTACCTGTTGATGATTTTGAATTCAGAACAGATCAGTTTTTACCGGTAAGAATAGCCATCGCCAAGATTTATAACAACTTCTACTTATAGCTTTTGAATACGAATATTGCTTTGTAGCTGGGATTTTATATATGCTTATGTGTATGTATGCGTGCTGCTTATTAATGTTGAATTTTAAAGTAGACTGAATTATTTTAGGGGACGTAATTTTATTTGTAACTATTCATTTGACTTTCTTTATTCATAGCAGGTCATGACTTCCACATTTTTCTCACAATTATTAAATATATTATTTTCATTTTATGTATGCCTGTTACTTTTATTCCATATGTTATTTCCCTATATTATTTGTGTACATATGTCTGTCTGTATCTTATACTAAATTGCAAAATACTTGGAAGATCCGACCACCAAGTCAGGCTCATCTTTGTACTGTTTTTCTTTCTTTCTTTTTTTTGGTGGAACTGGAGTTGAACTCTGGGCTTTTTGCTTGCAGAGCAAGCGCTCTACTCCTTGAGCCACACCTCTAGTTCATTTTGTCCTGAGTATTTTGGAGATAGGGTCTTGTGAACTATTTGCCCGGGCAGGCCTCCCAGTCTCAGCCTCCCCAGTAGCTAGGATTAGAGACGTGAGCTGCTGGCACCCAGTTCATCTTTGTAGTCTTTATTCAGTCTCCAGCACCTAGCATGGTGTTTTCACATAGTTGGTGTTCAGTAAGTACTCGTTAAATATGTCGGTAAGATTGGGCTGGCAGTGTTTGTTCTTACGAGGACTAGGTGAACAGAAAGTTATATAATAAAATATCTGTATACGCCTGTGGCCATCAGAGATGTGGGAACTTGTAGAGCAGTAATTTTTTTTCTTTAGGAAAATGATCACTGAGCTGGGCACCAGTAGCTCACACCTGTAATCATAGCTTGTTGGGAGGTTGAGATCAGAAGGCTCACAGTTCACGGCCAACCTAGAGAAATGGTTAACGAGACCCCCATCTCCAAAATAGTCAGAGCAAATGGGCTTGGAGGTGTGACTCAAGAGGTAGAGTTCCTGCTTTGAAAGCTCGAAGCCCTGGGTTCAAACCCCAGTCTCATTCTCCAGAAAAACAATCACTGGGTATTTTTAGATGAAAGAAATGTATTTTAGAAATTTGTGTAAAAATGAGGGAAATTAAATTCTCCCGGAACATAACTAAACCCCAAAAAGAATCACAAAAATGCACCAATTACCTGATTGAACAAGTGTTATTTTTTGTAAAAGTCCCTGTGATTGTCAGTTTCCCAACATATAATTTTCATATTATACGTCAAAGCCAGATAGTTGGCCGTTTGAGTGCAATAATTAGTGTCCTTTTGCCTAACCACATAGGTCCTGCATTTTGTGATTGGCGACAGACATACGTGGAAGAATAGTGACTGGTCACTGTTAACAGCTTAGTTGACAGAATAAAATTTAAACATACACAGCTTAGGCAGTCTTTAAACATCATTCCTTTTGTGGAAGATGAAGATTCTTAAACGGACGCATTTAATAGTAATAAAAAGAATTCTGTCTTCCACATTGGCAGCTTGTTTAAGTGTTGCTAATGTTTTGCTGTTTACCCTTTATTGCGTTTACATTGGGATTTGTTTCTCATTTCCATCGGTGTATGGAAGAGATCTTTACATTTCTCTTCTGAACCTTGGCTTTTCTTTGACTTGCAGTATTTGGAGACCATGTTCACACAACTTTTTCAGTTACTGCAGCAAGTTACAGAATGTGACACAAAGATGCACGTTTTGCATGTCCTTTCCTGTGTGATTGAAAGAGTCAATGTGCAGGTAATTTTGTTGTAAAACATGAAAATAAATGTCAGAGAGGTAAGTAGGATGTGGAGAAACGTGGGTTGTGACTTCAGTTCTGTATTCAAAATTGAAATATGTGAATTTAAAAAATGACTAAGAAAATTGAAATAATAAAATTGTGTCAACAGTGTGGAAGTGCCGGGTGCCAGCAGCTCACGCCTGTAATCCTAGCTCCTCAGGAGGCAGAGATCGATCAGAAGGATCACGGTTCAAAGCCAGCCCCCTGGGCAAATAGTTTGCAAGACCCTATCTCAAAAAAAACCCTTCACAAAAATTGGGCTGGTGGAGTGGCTCAAGGTGAAGGCCCTGAGTTCAAGCCCCAGTACTGCAAAACAAAACAACAAACAATGTTGAGGTGTTTAAAAAGTAGAATATTCAGTGGCTTAGAAGATCAAATTTATGCTTAATAACATTGAAATTCAGTGTGCTTGAGGGAATAGCGAAAGTATCTTACAAATACAAATTTCTTTGGTAGTCTATATTTTTTACTTTTTTTTTTTTTTTTGTGGTACTTAAGCTTGAACTCAGGGCCTTCACCTTGAGCCACTCCGCCAGCCCTTTCTCATGATGGGTGTTTTCGAGAGAGAGTCTTATGAACTCTTTGCCCGGGGTGGCTTCAAACCTAGATCCTCCTGCTCACTGCCTCCTGAGTAGGTAGGATTACAGGCGTGAGCCACTAGCGACCAACTTACGGTTTTTACTTTTTAAAAATTAAATGTTCTCCTTTCTAACCACGTTATATCCACACTTCATGTCAAATGATGATAAAGTTCTTAATATCTGAATTATTCAGCTTTCCCTTATCATCTGCGATCTGTAAAGAAATTGATAATCCAGGAAGCTGCATTACACCATGTGGCTTTTTATGCCCTAGCTCACCACTATGTGAAAAGCACTGAAGTGCTGGGGATGTAGCTCAGTGGTAGAGCACTTTCCTAGCATATACAAGGGTTCAGTCTCCAGCATCACAAAAACAAAAACAAAAGAGGGAAGTACATTTCAGGTAGGACAGAAGACATGGTTCAAAGGGAAGAGCACTCGCCTAGCAAACGCAAGGCTCTGAGTATATACCCCAGTACTGCAAAACAAAACAAAACAAAATAGAACAAAATGAAACACAGATGCTGACATAACTGCGAGGTGTTAGGAAAAGATATCTAATTTCACAGACTTCGTGTCTACTCTTTCTTGTGTTCTAATGTACAAAATGGAAAAAAGATAATTCTGAGCTAATCTAAGTCAGTGTTCAGATGTCCAATAATGCACTTTTTAGTCTCCCACTTTCCACTCCATTGGAATATGTTTGACTTTTGTGTCCCCACTCTGTCTTCTTTAATCCTCTTATAATTCATAGCATATACTTTCCCTGTGCTGTTCCTTGGAATGTGTTTCCTCCATTCGTTCAAAGCCAAATCAGGCTTCTTTTCCTTACCAGTAGATTGTGCTGTTACATACCACTTTTAGTTGAGTATGAACGAGATGAGGTACTTTAAAACCTGTGTTTTGCAAATTAATTGTCGTACTTTTTAAGCTAATTGGAGAGGTCTTGAGATAGAACATTTAGCGAAATAGAGGCAGTGCTCAATAAATATTAACTATGTATTATAATAGCGCAACTTAAGTATTTAAAGTAATGTAACACCAGGCAAATAAATGTGTGATAATAAGATAGTACACGTTTCTTAGTATTCAGTTCTATTTCACTGCAATATGTGGAGAAATACTTCTTATTTCCACCATTACCACCAACAGGGAATAAATCATACAGCTGTTTGCTAAACTGTTGTAGAGTATGATGTTGAATGCACAGAACAGAGAAGCCCTTTCTCGGAGTAAATTTTAATTTAAATCCATGAGATTCAAATAATTCCGAAGCTGTATTTTGGGCTAATATTTCTGTTTCATCACCAGTGATACACTACTCAGGGCAATTTCAAATACTATGATCTTACATTCAGAGCAATTTTAAATATTATGATCCTGTACCTGGAGCCGGAGTGGTAGGTCTTCAGTGTAGGTCTGTTTTATTTTTCAAGACAGTCACTGTCAAGCTATGCTGTGTTTCAGGGCTACTTTATTAAGTGGAGTAAGCTAATTCGTAGTGGGCATTAACAGTTTTGTCCTCTGAATGTGGTTTTCTTCCTTTGTGCTTCTGTCATACCCTGTGTACACCCTCATCATTGCACTGTCCTTTTTCATTGTGATGGCTGCTATAGCTTCTTTGCACCCTTTCCTTTGCAATGCCTTGCCCTCATGGCTTGACACTTGGGACAGTGTCATCAGGAAGTTTTTGAATGAATGAATAAATGCTGACTCTTTTTAAAATATAGTGTAATTTCTACATAGATGAGGTGTTTTATTGAAGACTCAGGGTGCAACAGTATTTTCTATTAACCTCTAAAGAATGTTGCTTTGTATTCCTAATTTTTTTTCATTCGGTAAATTTGATACTTGTTTAAAGTTAGCAAAAATAAAATTAATTATTAAAATTCTTAAAAATATCCTCCGTAGAGCTCTGGGTCTCTGTGTACTATCTGATTTATTATTAAAAGCACATATGCTTAATTTGTTGCATTTAGCAAGTGAATATTAAATAACTTGTTGCCCGAGATTGAATTCTTCTCTGTAAGTGTTTCTCAAAGTAAATTGCTTTCTTCATTAGTGGAGTTCTACCGCTTCCCCTTCTTCTGTTTTGGCAGATACGACCGTATGTAGGACGTTTAGTACAATATTTGCCTCTTCTTTGGAAGCAGAGTGAAGAACACAATATGTTGAGATGTGCTATTCTGACAACCCTTATTCATCTTGTTCAGGTAAGTCACTTCTCCATAGAGTTTCTTAGTTCTGGTCTTTTCTAAACTGTTTCTTTGTTTGCTTGTGATTTAATGGTGGTGAAAAGTTTCACATTTTACTTTATTTTTTTTTATGTGAACCAAACAGTTTTAGAAACAATTTTTGTGTGTTTATTTTGAACATCTTTTGTAGGACGTTTGAAAACTATTCTCTACGTTTCTAATGCAGATTTCTCCCATCGAATATACTAGTCTCCGGGAATCATAAACTCATGATTTGTGCTGTCCCTTGTTCCACACTCTTTATTTGTACTTTTTCCTTGATTTAATTTAAAAAATCATTCCCTTTCATAATGTGGGAAGGTAGAAAAGCAGGTGAGCTGGTTTTAAGAGAGAGGAGTGAATTTGATTTCAGTATTGTGACTTTGAAGGGCTGATACATGCAGTAGTTAGGGAGAAACCCAAAACTTCAGGATGAACTGGACCTTCGTTCTCATTTGAACTATTAAAAGTGAACTGTAGTCTTGCAGTGACATTATTGAGCGGGATGAACTTAAGGCCAAGGATTAAAATATCTGAGTATGAGGATGCTCAAGAATTTTACTGAACTCAAGTTCATGTTTGAGAAATTTTCCTTTGGGGAGATGTCCCTCTAAACTAACAACTGATACTGTGAAACTTTATTCGGTACCTTGACACTGTTTTGGATGTGAACATATTCTTTCTGTAAATGTTTATGGGTGAGTTTTACCATTACAAACTCTAAACACAATTTTAGACAGATGGTTAAACACACACACGAACCCACAAGTCGGGACCTCAGAACTCAAGGGTTTTACCATGTTAGCCACACCGTTAGTCCTTTCGCTTTCAGTTTGTTTTTTATATAGGGTCTGGTGCTTTTGTCATTGGACGACAGTGCTCCTTTCTCTTGCCTGTCAAGTAGCTGGGATTGCAGGAGTGTGCCAGCAAGCTGGACCCCACACAGTATTTTTAAAGCCCTTTTCCCTCCATTTTTTTTTTTTTTTATTCTGGTAAGACTCACAGAAAATGAGTTTTGCAATCTTAGCCAATGTAAGTGTGCAGTTCTGGCACTAAATTTATTCATATTCTGCAACCATCAAGACATCTACCTCAGTAAATTTTTCCTGTTATAAAAGTGAAAGTATATCTTTAAGTAATAATACTCCCTAACCCTGTGCTAAAGTACTCTTTAAACATCAGTCTCTTCTTGTCTGTCATTTAATTCTCATGATTATCCTATAAAGATTATGCTCCCTTTGTAGAGTAGCATAACAAGATCTAAGTGACTAACCTGCAGTTACATTTGTAAGTCACAAAACAAAGAGTGACCCCAGCTCTTTTGTATTATCTGCATATTCCTTGGCTCCATTGATTTTGGGGCTATGTTGAAGCAGAGCATTATGGCAGTAGGAGCAAGCAACAGAAGCTACTTAAGTAACCTCTAGGAGGACAGGAAGCAGATAGAGTCTATGGATAAAGTATAGCTCCCAAGGACATGCCCCCAGTGATCCACTTTCTCCAGCTAGGCTCTTTGTTCTAAAGTTTTCAGAATCTCCCAAAATAGCACCACCGGCTGGACCAAGACTTTTAACAGTGAGCTGTGGGGGACATTTGAAACCATGTCCGTATCCTAGGAATGAGAGAATACGGTTTTTTTTTTTTTTTCTTTAAAGGTTTATGTTAATCAGCTTTAGATTGATGAAAGCATGAGCTTATAAGATTTCTTTTTTTAAATGAAAAGTAACTGCTTAGTTCTTGGCTATTTTCTGTTTTGTTGCAGAATCTCCATTCAGCTCTGTTAATTGGATCTTTTAGGTTTTTAAAATCTTTCTAGTTCTAATATATAGCATGCTTTATTTGTTTTTGTTTTTGTTTTTTTTTATCCTGTAGTATTGGGTTTTGAACTCAGGATGTTGTACTTGCTAGGTAGGCACTGTACCATTCAAAACGTGCCCATAACTTGTTTATTTTCAGTTTAAACGTTTTTGCGTTATCTCTTGACTTTCTTACATACAAGATGAAGATTTAACCCTTATCCATCTGTGTCTCTCCTATCCCTGTATATCCCAAATGTAGTTATAGTGTAATTTAAGTTGGGTACCTTTTGGTGATGCATGGATGACATGCGCAGGAATTTCAGATGCTCAGGGTTCTTGAGCCTGCTCTGAGAATGAAAGCACAGACAGACTCTAACAGCAGAGGTCAGAAAGATTTTATTTGCAGAGAATTTAGTTGGAGAAAAGAGAAGAGAAAGACTGCATATTGGAGAATGCAGGGAGACCCGGAAACCTGGTGATCCTGTGGGTCAGGGTGGGGAGTGGGTTTTATAGCCTAGTTTGCATTGCCTGATGGCAGGAGATGCCTTTCAGATGCAAACAGGCATTTCCTAGGGAGGAGAAGTGTCTCCTTGACCTCCTGAGGTCTGTCCTTCAGTCCTTCATTCCCCCCTCTCAGTGGTCGCCCTGACTGCTGTTAGGAATAGGGACCACGAAGTCTGTTCAGTAACTGCTTCCTGCTGACAGGGGGTGACGAAGGGGTCCGCAGCATCAGGGCTGACCACAAGAGAGGTTGTCAAGGGGACCACAGTAGTATGTCGTTTTCATCTCCACCAGAGGCCTTTGTAGTTTGATGGATTCTAGGCGAGAAGAAACAAACTTGACAAGTAAGTTTAAAATGCAAGGCCCGAACACAAGCAAGAGAATAAGGGCAACTATAGGCCCCAGAAAGTGTAGGAACCAAGTCCTGGAGGGAAGCCAGGATTTTATTTGTTCCCATACCTGAGTAGAAACCTGAGTTTCAGGAGATTGCTCCCGGAGCCATTTAGCCTGTTGGAGAATGTAATCTGCACGTTCCTCTACAATGCCTGAAGTGTTTATATATGTGCAACAGGAAGTATTGGCAATGGCACATACCCCCGCTTGCTTGGCCAAAAGAAAATCTAGGGCCAGGCGGTGGTCCGTTACCATACAGGCAAGGGACGACAAAGGCTTTTGCGTGTCCTTAATGGCAAGGCCTGCCTGGTCTGAGGTGTCCTCTACCACTTTGGTTAGGTTTTTTGCAGTTACATGATTGGCAGTTACCCCATAGCTGATTCCAGCAAGGGCTGCAACTAATGCTGTTACCCCTAAAACTATTAAAGTAACCTCTCTTATTTCTGTGGGAAGCTGTTCCTATTGTAGTTAGCATTTCTCTTTTCTTCCAAATGGCTGCATGAGCATGCAGGATCAGGAAGGTATACTTAGAATCTGTATAGATGTTGACTCTCGTTCTTTTGACAGTCTTAGGGCTTCTGTTAGGGCCACTAATTCTGCCAATTGAGCACTTGTATTAGGAGGAAGAGGACCTGATTTGAAGGTGCCAAATTTTGTCACAACTGCAAACCCTGCATGTCTGACACCATTCCTGACAAAGGAACCGCCATCAGTGTATAATTCTAGATCTGGGTTTTTTAAGGGCTGATCAGTTAAGTCACGTTGGGCAGCATAATTTTCCATAAGTACCTCCTCACATGAGTGCTCAGGATTTCCCTCTGCCTCTGGTAAAAGGGATGCAGGATTTAGGCTCTGACAGGTCCTTAAAGTTATTTCTGTCCCTCCCAGAAGCTGGGCCTGATATTTAAGTAGACGGCTGTCAGATAGCCAAAGTTCTCTTTTTGAGTTTAAAATTCCCCCTAGGTCGTGTGGGGTATAAACAGTTAGGGGGCGGTTTAGGATAAGTTTCTGAGCTTCAAGCACTAGAAGGCTTACTGCAGCATTGCTCTGAGGCATCCTGGCCATCCCTTGGCTACCTGATCTAACTCTTTGCTTAAGTAGCCTACTGGCTGGGAGTGATGCTCCGGAGCTGAGTTACCATGCCCAAGGCCAGTTCTCCCTTTTCATAGACATATAATTGAAACTTGTCTTGTACTGGGAGACCCAGGGCGGGAGCTGTCATCAGAGCCTTTTTTAACCCGTGGAATGCATTTTCTGGCTTGTCATCCCATTCAATAAAGGGCTGGGTATCCTTCTGTGCTTCCTTAAGGGTTTGATATAAAGGCCTGGCTAGATCTGCATATCCCAGGATCCAAATTCTACAGTATCCTGTGACACCCAAAAAGGCCCTCAATTGTTTTAGAGTTTTAGGTAGAGGAAACGTCAGGATTGGACAGATTCTGTCTTCTCCTAGAGACCTCATTTCTTTCTCCAGGACAAGACCTAAATATGTAACCCTAGACTGACACAATTGGGCTTTTTCTTTAGAGGTCTTATAACCTCTATCTGCTAAGAAGTCTAGTAAGGACTCAGTGGCTCGTGAAATGACAGGCTCATTTGGTCCACAGAGCAGGAGGTCATGTACATATTGTAGCAGAGTAGCTTGTGGATGTTGCCACTCTGCCAAGTCTTGGGTTAGAGCTAACCCAAAGAGGTGGGGGCTGTCTCTGAATCCCTGGGAGAGGACAGTCCAAGTGACCTGTCCAGACTTTCTTGTGGGGTCCTCAAAGGCAAAGATAGGTTGACTTTTAGGGTGTAAGGGAATGCAAAAGAAGGCATCTTTTAAATCCAGGACAGAGTAGTAAGTAGTACCCGGAGGTATTTGGGCTAAAAGTGTATAGGGATTTGGAACTACAGGATGGAGAGGCACTACTGCTTCGTTGATCAGGCGGAGATCCTGGACTAGCCTCCATTTGTTAGGTCCCTTCCTGACACCGAGAATAGGAGTATTATATGGGCTGGAGCATTCTGTTAGCAGTCCCTGTCTCTTTAAGTCTTTGATTATGGGAATTAGCCCCTCCTTAACTTCTGGCTTTAAAGGATATTGTTTTTGATGGGGAAACCAGGAGGGGTCCTTGAGATGAATTAGGACTGGGGCAGCTGTTCGTGCCTGTCCCACAGTGTGTCCATCCATCCACACCATGGGGTCTACTTGTTCCTCTATTAGGGGCAAGCAAAAGTACTCTCCTGGGGGTAAAAGTAGCTGTACCCCCAATTTGGATAGAAGGTCTCGCCCTAGCAGAGGAG